ATCTGGGGGGGGGTTGTGCATGCATATACTGATACACATAAAAATATAGTTGCACCTGGGTACTGGCGGAACACAGCTCCACTGTAATTGACAATATAAGGTGCTATTGCAACTGTCTGAAAAACAGAAAGGAAACATTCAATGCCTATTATTTGATAAGATCAATATCTAGAGACAATTCAATAAAGAAGTGGTACCTTCGAATACTCTCTGATTCGGATGTAGAACACTGGAGTGAACAGAGAAAGAAAGCGGTAGTGCAAATCCTTGGCTGGGAAGCCCGGAAGGCCTAAATCAGCACTGTAAATTCAATAATTATTCTCTGTCAAACATAATTATATGAAATAGTTAAGCAATTAGGCATGTAAGAAAATCAAAACAAAAACAAAAAAGGAATACAACATATACCGCAGTGTGTCTAGTTCAAGATTAAATAGAAGTGTTGGTGTTGATGTAGCAAATTTTTCCTGCAGAATCCAAGTAGTAAATTTATAAGGTATACATCAAACTAAAGCAGCTAGTGAAGCCAGTGTGCAAAACAAATTCTTTTCAATTGCAGATAATTGCATAAAAAATAAGTCGCACAGTTTGCAACAAAGGCCATCAAAAATCAGAACCTAGATCAAGTTTTACCATCTAAGATGTTGCAACTGGAAGGGATAAACTTCGAAGTTAAACTCTTTACGGTGCAGAATATTGCTTACTGACCCAAAATCAAATGAAAGAACTCAAATCAACATATATTTTTGCATATTATTTGTCACCGATGAACAAAAACTAAATATTTCTGACTAAAAAGGCCAAAACCAACCAAATGAAGATAAGACTGAAATTTAATTAGCACATTGAAGAAACACCATACCACATACTTCTCTATATATGCAAGTTCACGTGTACTGCAGTTAACGAATATGTAGAGTGATGGAGGCTCACTAGACTGCCAACGACCTGCATTTTTAAGAAAAGAAATGGTCAAAACATTATTATTGTTGTCATGATTTACAATGAAAAACATTATGAAAAACATAATTTGATAAATTGTTATCCATAAGTTGCTAACATGGTAACTAAAAGAACCTTATTACTTAGAAAGCTATCTATGGTAATGCCATTTTCCCCCAAGATCTAACCTTCATTGTCATCTTCAAAGTCAAAATCAAGGGTGTTCCTGACAGATCTGAAAAATGAAGTCATAGGTCCAGCAGGGACATCATCCAAAGAACCTATGGTAATGCCATCAATCTGGAAGCAAAAAACATAATATCTTTATTCAGAATCAAAGTCAATCAACTGTGGAAGTAAATAGTTTAAATACTTCATAATTTTTCAACAATCTGATCTTTTGCTGGCATTATTTTAGAAAAATGTTGCAAGTTAAATGGGAATTGGTTCATTAACAGATGGGAAATAAATTCACACTGAGTTATATTTTCATTACTGAATCTAGAGCTGCTTTGAACAATTGAGAGGCTCGGCGCTTTTCTGGTTTATCAGGGAATACCTACAAAGAGGCACACAAATGTAGTACCATTTTGAAAAAAAGTGTAACATGTATACAAGAAAATAAGTATTCCTTGCTTTTGAGGGGAAGAAAAGAACAAGTCTTCTTACTATGCAAGCTCTGGTTTCCTTTTTCTCCTTGAGCTTTCTTACAACAGCCAAGGCAAGTTGAATGTTGGCATCAATGAACTCATCTGAAGATCCCTTGAAATATTTAGGAATTTGAGAAAATTATGTGCAATGTATTCAGATAAGCATGCACACAAAGGTCAAGTAACTATGAACTAGAACAGTTTCGGAATTAGCCTGGCATATAATACAGACCTAAAAATCAACTAATCAGACTGATGTATTGAAAGTCACTGCTAATAGAAAAAGAAACAAAACCTGAAGTGAGGTATATAAAAGCCAATGTAAAAATTTGTTATGCTCCATATCAAGGCAAGGCATTGTCCTCAATACTACACAGCATGCAACGAGGTTCTCTATAATTTGTAAATGCAGGATATAGGATCTGTTTGTATAAACTAAAATAAAGTACTTTTTAAAAAACAATTTTTTAAAGAGCAGATAAGAGTTGTTACTTAAAAAAAACTATTAAAAAAAACTGTTTATTTAATAAAAATAAAAAATAAATAAAAATAGAAAGTTTAGACAAACACATCAAAAAAACAGTAGAAAAATGCTTGTTTTATTAAAAAGGCATACTTTTAGGAAAAAAAAAATTTAAACAAACAGACCCATAACCTACTAATTTTGGGAACTTGAGGGTGTTTGGAAAAGCTTCGATGGAACTTATTTGGGCTTACTCATCTTATAAAATTAGCACTTAAGCTCAAAATTGAAGGTGTTTGGATTAAGCCAATGAACAAGGTTTATAACATTTCTATAAATTATTATTTTTATTTAAATAACTAGCGTACAAAACAAACTCCATGCCTCTGTGAATGGTTATTAAAAATACAGACGGTTATGGGATGAAATTTATTGAAAAGAATTAAAAAAATTATAATTTATAATATAATAATTATAAGGGTAAAATTGAACAAAAATTGCCTACACCAAAAAGTTCAACCCCTTTATTATAGTTATTATTATAGATATAGTTATAGATAATGTCACGAATACCTATTATAAATTATAAACTATTATAAAAGGGGTATAGGTGTAACTATTTTTTGTCAATACTTTTTACTATACCATTACACATCTGAATTGCGAATAAAGAAAAAAGAAACACCCTCTCTCAATAACTACCCATTCAATTATCTCTTTTTTATTTTATTTTTAATTTTATAAAAAAAAATTAAGAAGCACAAAATGCCTTCTTTTTTTTTCCTACATTCAAAATAAATTCACCAAATTTAGCTCTTATAACATAAAGTTCATTAAAGTTAGTTCTCCATAAGTTAAAAATTAGTTTTTAAAGAAGTTAAATGAAATAACTTTTACAAATTAGCTTATCAATAAATTAATATTAACTTTGGATAATCTTATTTTACTTTATTTTCTTCTCCCGTAAATGCTTATTAAGAAATTTATCCAAATTCCAAACAGACCTTAGTTAGTACTCTGTCCAAAAGCTTACACCTAGATACATTCAATGGTGGAGAAAAAGTGGTAATGAATAGGGCCGAGAGCACCGCAAAGAATAGTACCTTATAAGAAGATATGTTGCTGGGTAAAGGCCTGCAGGAAAGAATGGCAGCACGCAAGCAAAATCTAGTTATTGGCTTATAACGTTGAAACCAGGCACACATTACAGAAATGGAAAATCAATCACAAGACTAAAATGCAGAAAGCAGAACTTGTTATCGGTATTGCACAATAGGATTTGAGTTAAGTTATAAAAGTGTTAGGTATTTGGAAATTGTGATTGAATTATGAAAGTAAAATATATACGGAAAATCGATTTCGAGACGAAGGTTTCCGTCTTGAAGAGCATAGGCGAGTGAATTGGCAGCGTCGGTGACGAGAACTTCGTAGGATTTAGGTTTATAAAGGGAAACACCGGCCTTAGGATCGGCGCCTTCTCTTCCGCTTCCAACGCTCTGGATTTTGGTAGCGACTCTGAGAGTGAGGGGGAGGCTTCTGAGAGGCTGAGCGAAAACAGAGGAAGTGAAAGAAAGAGGTTGAAGCGAGCGAGGGCGAAGGAAAGTGAGGTTCAAAGATGAAGATGGAGATGAAATGGCCATCGTGTTTCTCTTCTCTTCTCCTCTCTTCTCTGCCACCGCCTAACTAACTACGCCAACTCTTCACTGTGATGGATAGGATCAGTGATGACGTGTCCTTTTAATAATCTCATTCTCATTTGTCTCGATTGCCCATTGGGCCCCTGTAGATGGGCCGCGGCCTGCCATGGGTTACAAAGGATTCAATTCACGGAGATAATTGTAATTTGCAAAGGAATGAAAGCTTATAAATAAAGAATTAATCATTTATACACTATTAGTAATTAATTATATTTTTAATTATATCATGTTATTATAAATATATTTATTACAATTAAAATATATAATTGATTATTATTGTAAAACTTTTTTAAATATAGTAATTTTTAAAAAATAATCTCATTAAATAAACTTTCTAGATTTGTTAAAAAGGACGCCAGCAATTAGCAAATTAATCATTCAGAAAATGCGTGTAAGTTTCTTCCATTAATTTAATCTCACAAAATAACTGAAATCACGAGACCTTGTCAATACGTTGGTTGTCCTAAATGCAAATGGACAACATAATATCCACACGAAAAACAAAAGATGCCGATACAGATCATGAATGGACGTCTCAGATTGCCTTTGATGCCATATCCAATAATAATGAACCAACTATCTCTTTCTGCCTTCAATACCCACATTCTTATTTCCCATATTTTCAAGTTTCTAACTTGTCCTCTTTCTCAAATCTCTTTCCTCAAGATTTCAAGGTCATTACTCCAAAAAAGAGGTTTTTTTTTTTTTTTTTTTTGTTAACAAAACCACAAAATGGCTGTGGCTATGGCTGTTTGGAGTGTTGGTCTTCACTCCAGTGCTGCTCATAATGGCTTGAGAGCGTTGGAAAAAACCGTTTGCAGTGCCCCTTTTTTGAAGGCCTCATCTGGGTTTGCTGCTACTAAGCCATTCTGCATCCGTAACAAAAGGTAGGGTAGCTATGATCATTGGTTACTTTATGGATAAGACTATTTTTTTTTAAGTCTTGAATATCCTTGATTACATTGATTGATACTGAATCATAAGAATTCTGGCTTGGATTGATGATTATTAATGTTTGTATTATGTTTCTGTTGCTGTTATAAAGCAGTGTACAATTTTTTGATTCACATGAACTTCTGATTAAACAAGAAAAATATTGATATAATGGAAGTTGCACTGTGTATGGTTGGTTCCTTTGCTTGGACATGTCAATTCTGGCAAGTAATTTATTCTATTTATTTATCTTTTCTGTTGTTAGCTTGTGTCTTGCCTGAGTTGTATGTTGAACACTTGGAGGACTATGTTCTAACTAATCAGATAGTAGGATGAAAATATTCAAGACTAGTAAACATTTAAAACTTGAAGTGAGTAGGACTGCATCACAATGATGTGTCCATTCTCTGGGTTAATTGTATGTACACTTTTGTCAGATTGTCATCTTCTGGAACTACAATTATCCCTCGAGCAGCACCAGTTACTGATGTGGAGGTATTTAGCTTAATCAACCTATATGATTGCCACTAATTGCATGTGAACAGCCAAAACTTCGTTCTTCCAATACTTGCTGGTTGTGATAACTGATCAGTAAAAGATTTTTGCTTTCAATTTTTTTATAATCTGTGGAGAACAGGATGGAAACCAAGGCGAGACTGATACTACTCCAGTTCCCATAGTTATAATTGACCAAGACTCTGATCCAGATGCAACTGTGGTGGAGATAACTTTTGGTGACAGGCTTGGGGCACTTCTTGACACAGTAAGTCATTCTCTGTGTAAAAACCTATGCTTGTGTTCGCTTATCTAATACTTTACTTTTTTACTTTTGGATATATGCTTTTATATTGTCAATACAGAATTTACGGGGGTAAGCAATGTCTCATTGTGTAATTCAATTACTATTAATTATTGTTTTATCTCATTGAAGCATATGCAATAATAAAAAAAGATTTCAGAGACCAACTCTCTACTTGGGTTGCAGATGAATGCATTAAAACACTTAGGTCTCAATGTTGTTAAGGCAAATGTCTTTCTGGATTCATCTGGCAAGCACAACAAGTTTTCCATCACAAAAGCGTAAGTGTTACATGCATTATGTATGTGATTGTTATAATGCATGTGCAATGTGTTGTTCCCGGTATTGGTCTTGTGTTATTACCAATGTATTCTAAATGGTAACTATGGTCATGTTCTTTGGTTCATAGGAGTCATTATTGTATAGAGGCAGATGAAAATGAGACAATTACCAAAATAAGGATAAAAAGGAAATGAATGGTCAGAATTAGATGGAAATGAATGGTTTTTATTTATTAAAAGGTCAACATAATAGGCACTATTTTTTTGTGGCAAAAGTCATTTGAATGGTTCCTTAAGTAAGATTCTACTTGGGCTCATGGTGTCTAATCACAAGTTGGCACAAGCATATGCAGTCAAACAGACTTCAGAACTGGCCTGGCAAATAAATTTTGGAAATTCACTCTAAAACAATGACACTTGTTTTCAGTTTCACCTTTCAAGCAATAAAAATCTTGGATCAGGTTTTTAACTAGCTTCTGTAGTAATTCATTGGATATGGTTGTGGAAATTTGTTTGCAGTGACACTGGCAGAAAAGTGGAAGAGCCAGAATTGTTAGAGGCAATTCGATTGACAATTATAAATAATCTGCTTCAATACCATCCAGTAAGCTTACCAACTATCCTCATTCTCATTGGACCTTAATTTGGTTAGATGCCAACAGGCAGCTCTCAGCTAATTAGAGTTTTGAAACTGGTGATCCAGGAATCAAGTTCCAGGTTAGCAATGGGAGCAGCTTTTGGACTTGTGCCTCCAAAAGAGCAGGTGATGAATGCCTATACTTTTCAGTTTCAATTGTTGAATATGAATTTTTTATTCCTTCTTGTAATGTGCAGACTAGTTTTGTGAAGTTATAAAATATCTTAGGCTTAGCGGTACTGGAAGTTTCTTCTTTACATATGAATGTGATAAAATCATGAAAACCCAAAAATGTTGGGTATCTGCTGCTTTGTGTTGTTTGACATGCACCAAGTTATGGTAATTTCAATGTATATATTGTTCATCAACAGTCTGTCTTCTACCATAACCATAGAAAAAAATAATGTATTGAAAAAAACCTCATGTCATGCATTGTTTAGTAATAAGGCCAAAATAGTTTATATAAGTACTTACGGACAATCTTCACACCTTATAAGTTTGTGGGGTTGAATTAGATCCAAACTCACATTCTAAATAAAGTTTGAGTGGAGATAGCTTGGGAACTTGTGGAAATAATAGATTCTGCACCACTTAGAGGAGGGGCTCGGTTTCAAGAGTAAAACAAATTGATTTATTTTGTCAAAAGAGAGGAGGGTTTACAAAACAGAAGTGCAACAGGAAGCTAGTGGTAGAAAGTGAAAAAACTTGTTTAGAGTTGTAGGTGTATTCTGTTAGTCCTTTAATTATATTTAAATTCATAACTATCTAGTTTAGTACGGAGGATTGCATTTTCCCTATTAGTTCTACTAATGTAAGTCTATTGTAAACTGCTGCATCGAGGTATGAGAAGACAATTTTGAAGGATCTTCACCAAAATTATGTATAACTGGCCTATTTAATGAGGGTGCCAAGAAAAGGGTGAGAAGTATAAATGTATAATAGCAAGAGGTTTATCTTATAACAGAATAAGTTTTATATGTTTATCTTGGATTACTAATTGGTATCAGGAATGGTGTCTCTTTTCTGATTACTAATAGTGCCATCTATTAAACCATACACGAGACAGAACGGTAGAGAATATATGAGAAAGCTTTAATGTTAACTCATAATGCATCTGCATAAAACATATTAAAATACACATTGTATTCGTTTGATAAGTAATTACCTCACTATATTGGTCCTCTACAATCTTGTTTATATTTTGTTAATATCTGTCAGGTTGATGTAGACATAGCAACCCACATAAACATTTCTGATGATGGCCCAGATCGAAGGTGATGCATTCATTTGGTTATTCATTAACAGCAATGGAAATTATGATTGAAAGAAAAAAAAATTCCTGGTTGAAATTAAACTTGCATAATATTTGAGGCCTTAGCAGCATACTCAGTGCTATGTTTGCATTAGTAATTTAGTACAGTACTTCTGGGCAATACATGTATGTGGTTACTGACTTGTTTTTCATTTTATAGTTTGCTGTATGTGGAGACAGCTGATCGGCCAGGATTACTGGTTGATCTTGTAAAGATTATTACTGACATTGACATTGCTGTTGAATCAGGAGAGTTTGACACTGAGGTATATATATATCATTATCCTATAAATGCAAATTTATTTTTGTTGACCTTGTCATTCAAGGAACATATTTGGATAAACTTCTCCAAAAATACTTATAAAAACAAATAAGAATAGAAATAAAATTATCTTTTCCATAAGCTAAAGTTAGTTTAATAAAAAATAAATTAAAAAAAAAACTTTTAAATAGTTAATATGAGAAAATTTTTATAAACTAGCCTGCATAAGTCATTTTTAGCTTATGAAGAAGATTAATTCATTTTTTCTTCATATTTTCTTTTTCTGTAAGTGTTTACGGATAAGTTTATTTAGACAAACCCTAAATGAAGGTATCAATTTAATTATTGGACCCAAAAAAAAAAAAAAGGAATATACCAGTCTGATCAAAAGGTTTTGTTGACCATAGGGGCTCTTGGCTAAGGCAAAGTTTCATGTCAGCTACAAGGGTAAAGCAATCATCAGGCCTCTCCAGCAGGTATCTTTAATATTGAATGATTAAAATCAACTGCATCAAAACATACATTGAAGTGGCCATGCAAGTAGCCTAGGTTCTGTTCATGTTTGAGCATCTGGTGCCAGATTTTCACATGTCAGTGAGAGTCTTTAGATTTTGAAGTGAATTAGATTCTTATTTATCATGTGGCAGGTTCTTGTTAACTGCTTGAGATATTTCTTGAGGCGTCCGACAACTGAAGAATCCAGTTTTTGAGTGGCACTTCTTAGAACTCAGTGCAAGACATTGTATTCTCTTTTGGAATATAATTAACCACCATGGAATTGTACAATGTTTCCATTCCTTTTGTCATGTGAAGGACAAATCAAGAATATGGTTTACCTATAGCCACAATTAATCATAAGATTTAATCAACATAGATAGGATTGTAAATCCACTCAGATAATAAATTTGAATGTTTATTCTTAAAAATATTATAATATATATATATATGAGTTAATTACTTATACACTGTCAGTGTAAAGTTTTTTTACACTGGCAACCAATTATATCTTTTAATTGTGCTATGTCACTGTAAACACATTTACTTTTACCGGTGACATGACACAATTAAAATATATAATTGGTTGCAAGTATAAAATTTTTTTACACTGACAGTGTATAGGTGATTAAATATATATATATATATATATACACGTATTTTCATTATCACATGACTCTGCCTCACTTTATAACACGTCTCTTGAGTTTTTATGTCACATCCTTATTTTTTCCTTTTTAATTATTTATTTGATCAAAAGAAAATTTAGTTTCTTTAATTAATATTCAATTTTCTTCAACCAATATTAAATATAATGTGATATTTATGAATTGTTGTTAAAATAATATTATATGAAATATTTTACTTTGTATGTATTCTCTAACGAAGATTAGTAACAATTTTTGATAGTGGACTTTGTACTAATATTGTAGCTATTAATAAAAATATTGAATTGTTTAAACTTATTTTGAAATGAAAAATGAGTTTCAAACTTTTTATTTTTTAATTTATTCTTTATTCTTAATAAAAATGTTTTATTAAATAATCAGATTTATCTTAAATTTTTAAAACTTTTTTTTTTCACAATTCATCTATATTTGTAAGTGCTGCTTTTCTATGATGAATCATGGATGGAGGCTGCTTTTGAACAAACACGAGAATATTAACTGAATAGATGAAATGTAAGGAATTGTGGATGGGACAGAGAGCAGAGATAATCTAAACAGGATTGTGCTAGCTAACGAAGATGCTTCATGCCCGTTTTGCAGTTTAGTGGAGGAGACCACATCTGTTTTCTTGTTCTTTCTGTGTTGATCCGGAATAACTGCTATTGCTGGTTTGAGATAATAGGTGTTCATAAAACCTTGAATTAGATTTTTAAAAATTAAACTAAATTATAAATAATTGAATTGATTTTTATAAAAATTAGACTAAAATATATTTTAATTTCAGTTCGAAAAACTAAACTACTATAAAATGTAGTTTAGTGCACTATAGTTATATAAATAAATAAATAACTTGTTATAATGAGTTTTACATAATTGATGTATTTAACATGGACAATTAACGATTTTTATTACAAGTAAAATTATATATTTTAAAGAGTTTTTTAAATGTTGTTATCCAATTATACAATAACATGAATAATTAAAATATTATTTATTTAATAACTATTTGATAAATTATATTTATGATGATTTTTAATTGATTTGATTGTATAAGTAATGTATTGAAATTAAACTTTATTTTAAAACATATTGACTATAAATCAAATTATTTAACACTTAGAAAAAAATTTATGGTAATTCTTTTTTTTAAGGGAACAAAACTAATTTATTTCTTTCATAATAAGAGAAGTAATACATGATGAAATGAAATCAAAAGTGTGGGGACTAGCGTATGATCTTGTTGTCCTTGCTAAGGAATGAGCAACATGATTTGTTTGTCTCCTAATAAACCTAACAGAGAGGTTTCTATGAGAGGCAATTTTAAATCATGTTTTTTAAATCATTTTTTTTCTTCTAATTTATATTGTCTATGTATAACTTTTTAGCTAAATATAAAGGAATATAATGATATTTTTCATGGGTCATATGCTTTTACCTCTAAATATTTAACACAACTACCTATTTATATATAATTCAAAATCGAAAGAATTGATTAAATTGAAACAAATTCCTTACTAGTTGATAGGGCTGTTCAAATTATTTTAAATTAAACTACTAGAAACTAAATTGAACTATATTATAAAAAAAATTCAACTATTTTTTTTATAAAAACTAAATTAAACTTAAGTTTGGTTTAAAACGTAAATTACTATAAAAATTAGTTTGTTCAATTCAAATCACAAGAAAAAGCTTGATTTGGAGTACAAAAATAATTTAATTAAATACAAAGTATAGTTCAAGTAGATGAAAGTATAGTTCAGTACAAACCTATTTTGTCTTAATTTTTTGCAAGTAATTTTTGGTAAATGATATTAGTTGACTTATCACTTAAAAAAAATAGTTTTTTCAAATTAAATCACGTTAGATACTATTTAGTTTATTAGTATAAGTTTAAAAATAAAAATTAATTTGAAATAAAGAATATTTTTTTAAAATGTAGCTTAGTTCAATTTATAGTAAAAAACTTAATTTAATTTAAATTGTATTTTACTTGAAAATTAATATAGAAGTTGTAAATATGCATAGTATTTTTCAAGTTATTTATAAAAAGAAAATATAAAATAAAAAACAAAGCTGAAAAACATAGTCACAAATTACACATTTTAATGTATTGATCAACTTAAGTAACCAAAAGATAATTTAACTTGCGGAAAAACAGATATGAGAAATAGTTGGGATTAGACTTCATCAATCTCCCTCCTATGCATTCCTATTGATTCTTTCTAAAGATTCCATTACTCATTGCCATTGAGCTCTCTAAATTCATTCAAACCCAATCCCTTGACGTAAGAAATTCTAAGATATTTAATTCAATGAATGATTCCTCACTTCATTCAATTAAATATCCTGCATTAAGAATCAGAACTTGTTGCAACTATTAATTTCAAGACCATCCCTGGCTCTCAAAACTAATAGGTGATTCGTTCCAAGTCTAGAGTTAGAAAATGTTTTCCAACCAAATTCTAAGCTCCAAATCAGAGATAAATGATCAGTTTATCAAAGCATTAAGAACAGAAACAAATCACTAACATAGAGTAACAGATGATATATATATATGAATCAAAGAGGAATACAAAGGAGTTTGACGATTACATCAATCGTAACCCTAAAGCTTAGCTATCCATAGTACAAGAAATCACCCAATAACAAGAGGAAAGGTAGAAGAAGAAAAGAATCCTTCGAAGAATCGCGTCCCCACGAGCTCCAAAGTGCTATGTTTCTCCCCTTTCTTTGTTTTCTCTTCGTACAGTTCCAGATGATCCTCTTTTCTCTCTCCTCTACCCTTATATATGTGATAGAATTAAAACAGAGTGAACAGGAAAGAGACGAATCCGCTCAGCGCCTTGGAACGGCTGAGCGGTTTGAAGAATCCTTCACCATGAAGTAACCTAAAGGGCTGAGCCCCTTGGATCCGCTGAGCGCTTTAGAGATCCTTCACTACTAAGCATTCAAAAGGGTTGGGCGCCTCAGATCCGCTAAGTGCCTAAGAGGCAGAGAGCATCCTTTTTCCTGGACCAAATCCACTCAGCGGATGATAGTGGCTGAGCGCCTTGGAGGCAGAGAGCACTCCTTCTCTTCCAGGGCCAAATCCGCTAAGCGCCTTGGAGTGGCTGAGCGCCTCTTCTTTGCTGCAATTGTTGAGCTCTCTGGCTTGAATCCGCTCAGCGCTTTTGAGTGGCTGAGCCATTTTCCTTCAACTTTCAAAACCTACAAAATAAACACCAAATTTGATCAAAAGCTTCATCACTCCTTGTACTAACATAAATCAAAAGTTCCTCTTTGATTCTAAGCAAATAAAGACCGAAATAATATCAATATGTACACAAATTGTGCTAAATAAGTGTCTCAAATTCATATTTAATCAGATTAGCTAGACACTTATCAAGAAATTAAATAATTTTGTATATTGAATTTTAACGATCAAATCGTTAAATTAAAAGTTTTAATGTATAAATTACGTGTATAAATTTTTTAAAAAATTTAAAATTATTTGATATTTTATTTCGTTAATTTAAATTGAAAAATAATCTTAAAAATATTTTATACGTTAATTTGAATTTACATAACAAAGTATCATATGATTTTTCAAAATTCATACAAATTTGTTGACTTAATTTATGTATTAAAATTTTTTAATTTAACAGTTAAATCTTTAAATTTCAACATACACCATTATTATTGAGTGAAATAATTTTACCAAAAATTATTTTTGAAGTCATTTGATCCCTCTTTATATATATATATATATAT